AAGGGGTAACAGTTTTAAGGTGAAAGAGAGGAGATCTAGATTAGATACCAGAAAGAAATTCTTTGCTGTGAGGGTGGTGAGACACTGGAACAGGTTGTCCAGAGAAGCTGTCCCATCCCTGGAGGGGTTTAAGGCCAGGCTGGATGGGGCTTTGAGCAAAGCCCTGGTGGAGGTGTCCCTGCCCATGGAAGGGGGGGTTGGAACTTGATGATCTTTAAGGTCCCTTCCAAATCTAATAATTCTATGATTCTATGATAAAATGTGAGAGGTAGCAAAGGAGGAGTCCTGCAGTTCCCTCTCCAACGTGTGACTGGAGATGTGCTCTTGCTATGACTCAAGCAAAGCAGGGGGAAGGAAGGCTCATACCCCTTGTTTCCATTGATGCCACCTTGACTCACAGCGCTGAGGCTTGCAGGCTGACGTGGTGCTGTGACTGAAGTTTTCACATTTGGAGCACTGCAGTGTCACCTCTCCTGTAGGCCAAGTGGCCAGTAGCTGGCATGAGCAAGAGTTTACATCACCCACGACCAAAACAGAAGTACAAGATTAGCTGCCAGTGTGATTTAAGACTCCCAAAGCAGAACAGAAGCAGATAAGGAAAGCAAGGTCCTTGGAAAGATAAAGAAACTTTGCAGCTGATGCAGGAAAAGCAGGCGTTAAGGTAAGCAGGACTGTTACCAGCCTCAAGCTAAAAGCTGGAAATATTCTGAAAGGTGACAAAAATTAAGAACCCATACAAGCTTTGAGCTTAAAAACACTCTGACCTTGAAGGAACTGAATCTGCCTTTCTGGTTCCCAGGGCATAGGGCCTTGGTAACTGCCAATAGACATCACTTCCCAGTCCAGCAGAGCTCTGGAGGGATCCAGTAAGGCTCCTCTGGTACAGGATGGAGGGTTGTTGCCTCATCTGCTGACTGTTCAGTGGCCTGCTACCCTGATTTATCACTTTGGGAACAATCCCACCCCAAGCTCCCATGTACTAGACAGAGCCAGCTGGACTACTCCACAATTTCAGACCAACTTTAGCTGTCGCGCATGCCCTGGACCAGGAGGATAGGTTGCACTGAACATTTTGTTTCAGATGAGCATCTACATTCTTCCCCGGGTGCCTCAGTTACCTTGTGCCATGAGATATCTGCCACAAGATCCAGCACAGCCATTACATCCCATAAGCATCATCACCCCAGTGTTGCAGGCCTCCAGACTCAATATAACATCCTATCTCTCCTGTACATCAAAACCAAACAAGTCTAGGGAAAATCATGACGCTTGGACACGTCAAGTTTTCAGGTGTAGCAGTGCCACCCTGGTGACTTGATTTATTCCAGCTGACAGTCTGGGAACAAGTGCCACAGTTTCTTTTGTATCCTCCAGCATAAAGAAAGAGTGGTCGGGCATTGGAAGAGGCTGCTATCTCTCCTGTACATCAAAACCAAACAAGTCTAGGGAAAATCATGACGCTTGGACACGTCAAGTTTTCAGGTGTAGCAGTGCCACCCTGGTGACTTGATTTATTCCAGCTGACAGTCTGGGAACAAGTGCCACAGTTTCTTTTGTATCCTCCAGCACAAAGCACTTCCACAAACTTCTAGGTGGTGTTTGGAGAACAGCACCCAAACCTGTCCCTTGTTTCTCTGCTCCCCCTGGTGGGTGCCAGTCCAGCACAACCACAATGTCTGCTCAGGCTGGGCTGATGGAGAGCTGCACACAGAAAATAAAGTTATTATACAGTTATATTATTGTAAAGTTATTACACAGTGTCCTTAAGAGCTCTTTAACTACCACCGTTATTTCTTACCACTGTTCATTATAGAGATGTAGCAGATCAAAAAGTAGATCTAGGAACAGAGTTTCTGAGTTATAGACTTCAGTGTCAGCAACCACTGATATCTCCAGCCAATATCCAGATCATACAGCCCTGAGAGGACCATACACCCACCACCTAACATTCCTGGGCATCAGCCCACAGCCACTGCCAACGGCTGTACATACATGGATGCTGATCCATGCACAGCCACTCAAAAAGAAAGCCATCACAGCTCCTGTAACTCTGAACTTGCATATTTGTGCAAAGGTAGACAGTGGATATATCAGATTTGCTGCATAAAGTGTGGGCCAAGCTAATTGATTTTATGTGCCTAATTATCCCTTTTGGACATGGAAAAAAAAATATATAACCTGCCATTCTCCATATTCCACTGTATTTTTAAATGTAATTCAAACTGGGGACTCCCTTTACTAGACAAATAGACTAAATGCCAGGGAGAATGGATTTTAAAAATCTATACTTCAAGTACTGCAGTAGTATAACTAGTCAAGACATAAAATTACTTAGAACAGCTCACTAAGTGCAATACTGCAAACAAGTTATTACAAACTCAATTCTCTCTTTAGATATGTATTCAACCTTTTTTCGACCAATCTTTGCTTGGTCTTGGTATCTTCAGAAAAGAGATAGTAAAATAATTGCATAAGAAAATCAAGACTATCAGAATACTTTTTAATCATGCACTATACTTATTTGGGGTGTAGGGGGGGCATGGTTTTGTTTGGTTTTTGCTTTACATTTTAGAGATGGATTATTACTGCAGGAAAAGTACGAGTGAAATGACTGAAATAATCACATTCCTCCTTTATGTTTAAATGTGTTTCAAGCTCATATCTAGATGTTGAACAAAATCAAATATAGATCTCTTCCTAATTTTCCAAGTTACAGAACAGTAAGTACTGCACAGTAGAAAACAAGATCTAATACAAGAGGTGGCAACTGGGATTTCATGCTGCTTACACGTATTCACATAAAAAGATATGCAATCACAAGGAAGTGTGACTCATTTGACGCTGGAGAGACATTTTCATTTTAACTATGCATGAAAGGGATAGTATTGCCATACACTGCTCTAACGGCGGTGAATCAATTAGGAAGGGAGCCGCTGTATTTTACAGTCTGTAGCAGTCATGTTCAAAAACAAGACCTCATTCTTCTCTCTGTAAAATCACAGATGCCCAACATTGCCCCACACACCCCCTGAGACTCAGCCACCAGATTCCTAATGAAGACACGCTGGACTGGACGACCTGTAAAGCACATTTCATTCCCCAAAAGGCATCAGGGTGGGAAGATCTTCCACTAGTGTCTAGTAAACAAGAAACAAGGAAAGCCCATGTTTGCCAGGCAATCACTGGCACGCAAGACACACCAGTCAAACTTTGTCAAGGAAGCATTTGAAGATCACGACACACATGCAACCCACCATACAAAACATGTTATTGCCTCCTAAGCCCCAGTTCGCACCATAACATCAACACGATCCCAAACACCACCAGTGTAACTAAGCAAAATACACCAGCACCAGTGCTCTTATTTTCTCATGTCTTCAGACAGCAATTGCAATGTTCTCTGTTATCTTCCACTCCCCTCCCTAGTTCTTAAACACACATGGGGCTTCCATCCTTTATAAAACTAGACAGTCACAATTTACTTTATAACAACAATTTGTTTGTATTTCCATCTATAAAATCCCCCCAAAATGCCACATCGTACAGTAATTTCTATACTGATGAAATACAAGGGTTCTGTAATGTTTATAAAGCCATTTAAACTGTATTAGCAAAACTATTTTGCTAAATTGCATTTTCCAACTCATCAGTCCTTATTATGCTATACACAAGCTCACTTCTCTCAAGTCACCCTACTCGCATAATCGAATCATGCCATTTGAAACACTGGGACATTATTTTCTCATATAAACCCGTTGAAATTATCTTGACAATGGCAATGTAAGGATTGCTGCTACCCAGAATTTGCTATGAGAAGTAAAAGCTGAGAAAGAGATCTCTTGAAATCATAGATTTTAAATATCAGAGACACAAAGTGTTTAAAAGCCACTAAATACCACAGGTCATCATGAAAGGAGAATCCAGGTTCTGAAACACTTGTCCTGAATCATTTCAGTAGAAATATTAAAGAATGAAAACGGGCTATGGAATTAAAGGATTTATTTGTACAGACTGACATAAACTCACTTAATGTTAACATCTTTTTGAATGTCAAGCAGTATAAACAAGATATCTGAAATTACTATCTAATATAATGACTTAAATAAGTACCTTCTAAATAATGATTATATAATGACTGAAATAAGTCTGCCCAACTGAGGTATAATCAAAATCACTGCAGTCAGAGAAATTTACCCAAAGCAAAAACCTTTTTATGCTTGCACACGTGTTCATTTAATATAGAAGAAAAGTAGAGCATGTTTTTTTAACAACAACAACAAAGTTCAAAAAACACTTGGAAAAATATGCCTAGCACACTTTGCATGTGCTAGGCACACCAATTATCACGTTTTGGTCAAAGACCCACTGCACGCACCTAGCTTCTCTATTTTACGTCAGTTTGAGAAAATTATTTTCAGAAAACATGCCTGTAAGAAGCATCCGACAGCTGTATGTCCACGATTAAATAGAAGAGAGGAAAGCACAGCAATAGATACAGAATATACTTTACAACAGCAGCAACCAGTGGCTTGCAAGCCACTGGCCAGAATCCTTCTCCTTGATAAAATTAATGCTTGACAGTTCTCAAGACATTACATCAACACAGAGAGAGTTTAGCTCTCACTTGCATCAATAAAGCACAGCCTCTGACCTAAAGTGTATGTCTTCATCACTAAACCACTTTCAAATGAAACAATACCGACCTTCAAAGACATCTTCATATAATGAGCTGTCTTTGTTGACCATTTTGGCTAGTTACAGTATTTATATCTGTTTAGTCCTTTATAACCTTTTAAGAAGGCTAATGAGGTCTGAGAAGCGAAAGACGAGCCCAGTCAGCATTATTTATGGACCTCTTTTTTCACTCCTGTTCAGTGCAAAGATATGCCACGTCGCAGAATCTTCCAGCGTCAATTTCTCCCACCAAACCCACACCGCAAACTTAATCTTAAAAAGATACCCTCTCAAGGATAAACAAAGGAAACTCGTATCTGTCAGACCTGAAAGATGTTTTCACCAATGCCTCAGGACTGTCCACTGGTGGCAGTTCATCTGCCAGGATTTCCTCAGGAGGTCTAGGGTCACTGACGATGGTCGGCTTTGGCCTTTCCTTGAGGTTTCCAGTCAGCCCACCAATAATGGTGTTCCATAAGCAGTTTTGTGATTTAGATCCTGCAAAAACAGAGAGCAAGAAGGAAAATAAATTCATAGGCTTATTGTCCGGTCTCTCTAGCGGTCTGGAAAACAAAGATAGTCTGTTATCCCTATAACTTTACATCACCGCAGTTTGGGACTAAGCCTGAAAACCTGAAATAAAACTCAAATTGGAAATAAGCACTAATGTTCAAGTCATTTCAAGTCCAAGACTGTAATGCTTCTCGTAAAAAGGTTTGATTACAAAACATGGAGTTTTCACATGTCAGTAAAAAACATTCTCTTCTCATTATACTTAGATTATAGCTTAGGGTGTATTGATGTGGCAGTGTTTTAAGCCAAATAACTAAGCAAAAAGCAAAGTACCACATCAATACAATATTAATCATTGACTTCCTTAAAGTTAATAGTGGTTAAATTATAAAGATATCACTGAAGGACTATTATCAGAAAATGTGTCTTTTCTGTGGAAACTTCAAGTTTTCTCAGTAGACATTCAAATGTTAAAATATTTACATGGATGATCTTTCTACATTTATTTAGAAGTGTCAACAGGTGCCTCTTGCTTGTCATTCAGAGAACCCATCCTCATCTGTAAATCTAGTTCCACCGACAAAATACAATTAACATCCTTCAGTTAGATCTCCACCTTGCCTTTGGAGAAAAGAATACATGGCTTACACTTCATAAAGTTTAAGTATCCATTTCATATTTTCAAATATCTTCTGAATAAATTAGGCTCTTCTGAAAATCCCAGTGATACTCCCATAGTGAATACCTATGTCACATTCTAACTTTCAATTATTATAGAATATACATGAGTGAGTTAGCAGATCCCAAAAAAGAGCAGTTAAGTACTGAAATACTAATTATTTCAGGTAAGAGGCTTTTCCTCCTATGTCCTCTACACATACACCTATACCTCTCCCTCCAGCGTGGATATCCATCCCACGCAGCTCTCCCCTAAGATGAGATACAGACTGCAGACCTAGATCTACTTTGCTCTTCTGAAGATCAACTGCATCAAACCAGCCAACGCATGGGAATTACCCAGCTTCACTGGAGCAACGAGATGCCCATCTCTCCCAATCAGCGTTCAGCTTACCCACAGCGACGCTCAGGTGAAGGGCATTTGGCAAATGATTTTTTATTGAAGGGTCCTGCCTGTACAGATGCCACCTAGGAGCTTTCAGCTTCCTGAAATGCTGAGAGGTTGAAGAACTTAAATTCCCACAGCCACAATTGCTCAAAGACTGATGGCATAGCGGGATGGGTAGCAAAATGACATAGGGAGATACCAGGCATATTAACTAGTAACTTCTTAAATTCAAAGTCTCCTAAATTGACTGGAATTTGGCACTTGAAAGTACAGGAGTTTGGGTAGCCCTAGCATTGGAATGAATAAAACTCAATTTTAATTTCAAATCCTTGTGAATAAGTGCAAACATTCACAAAAATGCTTCTCCATCATTTTCTTGTACCCTGTCAAAGACTATTACAGCTGAGCTAGAGGCAAAAGCAAAATAGATTTCGGTATTATAATTGAAAAAGCAGTACTCTACTTAAAGAATCTGTGGGTGGGTGTTCAAATACTTTAATATAGCCTAAAAATATTGTTACCCTGCAAGTCTAGCTAACTGGATCACCGATAACCACACAGCTATGATTTCCTGTTGCCTCACTTAACACCAGCAGCCTTTCCCCCTTTGCTGTTCCTGAACCAAGAGGCCAACAGCTACATGCTCCAGAGAGCTGTGGACAACAGCCAGCATGGACAAGGCTCATAGGGGTTTCTGCAGGTTATTTTGTGTTTGGTTGTGTTCACAGGAAGTTAGATCAGGTAAATTTGGTCAGCCAAAATGGGTATGGTTTGTTAAGTGTTCAATGACAGCCCAACTGTGATCCCAATGAAAGCTTTGGAGGTTTCACTGTTGACCTCAAATAGGCAGCGCGTACAGAGCAATGGAAATCTTGCTTTCTGTTGCGGAGTTAATAATTGCCTTTGAATTAATCATTCCAGTGAATGTGAAAGGCACGACCCAGAAAGATACCCAGTCTCTGGTTTGCAACACAGACCCAAGGGTAATGATGGTAATCCTCTATGACATCAGTTACAGCTTGAATCCTTGTCCTCAAATGCTGAGGCTTTTTCTGCCATTCAGTCTGAATGATTTTGGATGTTTGATTCACACTCCACTGTTTGTGCAATGAAACATGGTATGGTAGAGTAGGTTATAGTACTCTCAGCATAAATTTGGGCATCATCCATTTAACTCCTGTTAGCATAGTGCATGCCTTAGACATTCCCCTCCCTTCATAGCACAGTTCCTGTTCTAATTTTCCTTCTCTTCCCCATGGAGTTGTTGCCTTGTACTGCGCGTGACCACACAGTCATGAATGATACCCTACAAGAAGCCAGCTCAACCTGACTCCTAGATCACTAAAAATTTAACTCCTGACAGCAAAGGTCTGGTTTACGCTTGGAATTATCTCCCTTCATCCCCATATTATGCCTCTGTGACTCCTTCCCAAGCAGGCTTATCTAAGTGTTCCTCTCTGCACTGCTCTTCTGTCACTGTCAAACAGCCTGTGGTCTTGATCCCACCTCCATGCTCACTCCCATGCAGCACTGGGCCATGCGATGAGACCTGATAAGGGGGTATCCTGTGCTTTCATTCAGTGGATAGCCATCTGCTAGCCTGCTCTCTTCCAGCTAATGCCAGTCAGCCATTGGCCACTCAGTTCTCTTCCATGTCCTGCCAGTCACTTCTCCCTCTGCAAACAAGGCTTGGCTGCCTGGCTGAGAGCAAAGATTAAAGCAGGAACAGAACCTGGTTGTTCCTGGGTCTCAGACCTTCACCCTAGACACATTCACCGAAAAGCAAGTTCTTGTGAATGTCAGAATCAGAACTGAAATGCCAGCTCAGTTCCAAATGTCACGACATTATGCTTGACCTACTTGCCAGGCAATATTGCAGCATGAAGTCCTCGTAACCCAAATATCCAGGAATAAATAATACATGGGCTGAATCTTCCAACTCTGTAACTAGTATTCAGTAACCACAATGAACAAAAAGCAGAGTGATAAAGAACTTGTAAATGTCTGCATTTACATTTCTCTCCTCTGTGACTTCCTTTGCTATATGCATTTTCAGGGTTGAACCAGCCATGACTGATGAACAGAGCCCCATTTTAAACTTTACTGTCTGCAGCATGAAGGAAGAGAAACCCTAAACCAGGAATAAGGAATGCCAGTGCAATTTTGTTTCAGTCCTGTCCAATCTGCTCAATCACCTTGTCTGTGACTACATGCAACAGACTTCACAGCCAGTCCCCGTTCTGCACCGCAGGTACCTCCCCGAGGCACGGCATGCTCAGAGCGCCATCCTGTGACTGCGGGAAACGCTGCACCGCAGATGCCAATTCTTGTGCTGTTTTGGTCTGCACCACCCATTTAATGATGAGAAGGGGACTTTTCCCTGCTAAGTGACCACAAATCGTCATGAAACTGCATGCATTACAGAAAGAATTTCCTATCTTCTTCCTCATTCGACATATTTGTGTGCGTGTGTTTTTAATAATCCATATGGTGAAAGTCAGGTTTAGCTGGTGCTATATTACTGGATGCACCCCTTTGTTTTGTTCAAACTTGGGACACATATTTCAACCCCCAAATCATACCTTTCCTTCCTAACCTTGCTCTGAGAAGCAAAAGGTGATGGAGGAGCTATCAGTAAGGTTTAATTACACTTTTCGTAGCTATTTCAAAGACTTGACCCAAATCTCTTTGTAGCCACTGCAGAAAACTTCAGCTGGCTTTGCAACACTTAGAACTTTTTACGCGTGAAGCAATGGTAAGGCCACAAAACCTTCCGTTCTTTTAAATCTGCAGCAGCTCAACTCAGTAAGACTGAACTTCTGTGACTTTTCCAAGTACTACAGTTCCTCAGCTTGGTACGGTAGATGAACTGTAATAACAGGGTGGACATAATGCGAGATAAAACAACTTATCAAATGTGTTTATTTCTACAGGAGATATAGAAATCAGTCAGTTTAAAAAAAAAAAAGGCTACTTACGGGCAAATCGTGAAAGTGGTCGTGCGTTTTTGTCACCTGCCTCGTTTGCAACTGAAAGGAGAAAATACAGAGAAATATAAAGCATTCGATTTTAACATTACATTAAGATTACTGATAACAGCAATTCTCATTTATATGAAGGAGAGAAGATTGTTCAGAAGATTGTTCACAGTAACAGCAGTTGGATATATATGTATAGGTATACACACACAGATATACATATATAATACTTTTTTTAATGCCACCAAATAAATTACTTTGCATGTCTGACTTTCAGAGTCAGTGGGGCACACCACAGGCACCTGCAAACATTGTCTCACCCCACTTAATATTTGAATCATATAATTGCCCAACATTCAAGCATGAACCACCAATAGTACATAGCAATATATGATCCCAGTCACCTTTACAAATTCTATTTTACATTGGACTGCTTTCCAAGTCCTAAATAAAACAACATTTTTGCCATTTGCATTAATGAGTACAGTAAAAAAAAAGTAAGATTATTCCATGTATATAAGGAAATACACTGTCAATTTTGGAAGACCTGGCGATCATTTAATAGCAAATTAAATGAAATTTAAGGATCTGTGCAAAGGAATCCTCTAACATTTGGAACTGTGTGTAGATATCACCTAGGATAAAAACAACCCTGTACAAATCCTGCTTTTTTCTGCCTCAGATTCATACTGGCAGAGCTCTCAACATTTCTGTGACCCAGCCGGTACGCAGTTAGGCAAGAGCATAAATGCCTCTCTGGGGTTCTCACAATATTAAACTACAGCTGAAACAAGAGAAGAGTTATTAAGGAGAGAAATTACCAGCCATAACTTTATTTTTTTTGTAGCTAGAATAATCATGAGGAGCAGCATTGATGGGCACACAGGGAGGAGAGCACATTATAAGTGCCCACAGAAACCTTGCAAATTCTTTGCTTTCTTTAAAAACGCTGAGACAAAACCAATCAAGCTAAGAAATCCCACAAAAGGATGCAAAAATATGACCAGAACTGAGACTTACAGATTCCTAACAAGACGTAAACTAAACTATAATGGGCCTTTTGAAGCCAGAAAAGAACTTTGATGAAATGTAATTCTTCTGACAAGTGTTAAGGTTGCCAGTTTAAGTCTGGCTTTATGAAGACCCATATGCAGTGTCGCTCCAGCTTTGCCTACTGCCTCTCCAATCGTTACCTGTTGATGTAGGTGGCTCCAGCAGTCACAGTAGTGAACAGAGGGACTTGTTGAGCTGCCTCATGTTGCTCCATTAGCCAGTAGATGGTGCCCTTAAAACGCTGGTGCTTCTCCACCAGCCCGGGGACCTCGCTAGGTTTGTGGGAGTGGGGGCACTGGGGTCTCCCAGGTTCTACCAGACAATCTTCCTTGGCTTGAGTCCATCACAGGTACCTGCTGCACAAGCCCCAGCTAAATAAGCTCTCCCGGGACACTGAAGTGACTGCACAGAGTTAGGCAGGTTTGGAGCAGTTCATAGTTCCAGAGTCAAATCTGGCTCTGCTTGAGGTGATGGCCCGGTGAAGTAGAGGCAGCAGCATCCTCCATGGGGCACGGCTCAAAAGAGCTGGACCCAGTGAGATCAAAAACCTTGTCAGAAAATACTGCTATAGCCAATATATAACGGCCAAGCAGCCAGGCTTTGTCTTTAACTCCGAGATGATGGCTTGCATGGGGTAGGCTGAGGGATCGCCTCCCAGACTGGTCCTCTCTGGGTCCCTAGGTATCTCTCCATGTTACAGCAGAGTCTGGGCAAACTCATCACATGCACTGATGTCTAAGTTGGGTCATCAAGTGAACTATTAGACCAATGAGGACAGAGGTTGCTAAGGGCCTTTTAACCGCACTATTATCTGCCTTAGACTATTTCCTCCACTCTGGTGGCAGATGACACTCCCTGGTCACCAGGGGCTTCAGGTGGACACAAGGTCTCATCTTTGTGCCACCCTCCAGCTGGATGTAGCAGCAAGGGCACTCCAGTCAGTATCTGTGCTTGGGCAGCCCAGCTTCCAGACTCACAGCATCCAACACATCCAACATCCAACAGCACCTGTTAACACCCAAAAACAAGCATTTTCCAATACCAGCTCAGAGCACTGAGCTGACCTCCTCTTTTTCCTTCTTGTCACCGGGGCAACTTGCACCAGTGCCCATGGAGTCTAAGAAGAGTGCACCATGGATGTATTCCCAACCCTGCTGAAAGCAGGCTTTGCCATAAAAAGAGGTAAGGTCAAGGGTCCTGCAGGAGACATACAGTTCTTAGGAAGTAAATGGCAAGATGGCCATCACCAGATCCCAATGGATGTGATTAACAAAACAACAGCTACGTCCCCACCTACTAACACAAAGGAAACACAAGCCTTCCTAGGCATTGTGGGTTTCTGGATATTCCAGGTTCTAGTCAGATTGTGAAACCTCTCTATGAAATGACCTGAAAGAAAAATGAGTTTACGTGGGGTCCTGAGCAACGACAAGCCTTTGACAATGGATGTGATTAACAAAACAACAGCTACGTCCCCACCTACTAACACAAAGGAAACACAAGCCTTCCTAGGCATTGTGGGTTTCTGGATATTCCAGGTTCTAGTCAGATTGTGAAACCTCTCTATGAAATGACCTGAAAGAAAAATGAGTTTACGTGGGGTCCTGAGCAACGACAAGCCTTTGAGCAAATTAAACAAGAGATTGTGCATGCAGTAGCACTTGGACCAGTCCGAACAACAGGACATTAAAAATGTGCTCTATACTGCAGCCGGAGACCATGGCCCTACCTGGAGCCTCTGGCAGAAAGCACCAGGGGAGACTCAAGGTCAACCCCTAGGATTTTGGAGTCAGGATACAGAGGATCTGAAGCCAACTCTACTCCAACTAAGAAAGAAATCTTGGCAGTATATGAAGGAGCTAGAGCTGCTTCAGAGGTAATTGGTACTGAAGTACAGGTCCTCTTAGCACCCCGATTACCAGTGCTGGGCTGGATGTTCAAAGGTGAAGTTCCTTCTACTCATCATGCCACCAATCCTACCTGGAGTAAGTGGGTTGCCTTAATCCCACAGCGAGCTTGAATAGGAAACCCAAATCGTCCAGGAATCATAGAAGCGATCACAAAGTGACCCAGGGACTTCAGAATGCCACCAGAGGAGGTGGTAACGCATCCTGAGGAAGTCCCACCATACAACGAACTCTCAGATAATAAGAAACAGTATGCTGTGTTCACTGATGGATCTTTTCATATTGTAGGAAAACATCGAAGATTGAAAGCTGCTGTGTGGAGTCCTACACGACAAGTCGCAGAAGCAACTGAAGGAGAAGGGGAATCAAGTCAATTTGCAGAGGCAAAAGCCATCCAGCTGGCCCTAGACATTGCTGAAGGAGAAAAGTGGCCAATGCTCTATCTCTATACTGACTCGTGGATGGTGGCAAATCCTCTGTGGGGATGGTTAAAACAGTGGAAGCAGAGCAAGTGCCAGCGCAAAGATAAACCCATCTGGGCTGCTGAATTATGGCAAAATATTGGTGGGGAAACTAGCCATAAAGGTACCCTATGTAGATGCTCACAAACCCATGAGTCAGGCCACTGAGCAACATCAAAACAATCAGCCAGTGGATAGAGCTCCTAAGATTTTTCCGGATGTATCTGGACTGGGAACATAAAGGTGAACTATTTTTATCTGGGTGGGCCCATGACATTTCAGGTCATCAAGGAAGGGATGCAACATACAAATGGGCCCATGACCGGGGGGTGGATTTAACCATGGACACTACTGAGCAGGTTATCCACTGTGAAACTGTGAAACATGCGCTGAAATCAAGCAAGGTAAAAGGTGAAAACCTTTGTGGTATGGGAGATGATGGCTGAAATTTAAGTACAGCGAGGCTTAGCAAAGGGACTGCATCACACTCGGCGAGGCTTAGCAAAGGGACTGCATCACACTCCCTCAAACCCACCAGGGTACGCGTTGGAAACAAGCACTGGATGGTTGGAAACCTCTGCTGTACCCCCTGCCACTGCCCGAACACCATCCTGGGCCTTGAAAAGCAAGTCTTGTGCTTACACGGTACTCCAGAAAAAATTGAGTCAAACAATGGGACTCATTTCAAAAACAAAATGTAAGTTATTGGGCAAAAGAACATGGTATCAAGTGGGTATTTCATATCATGCACCCGCTTCTGGGGAAATGGAGCGATACAATGGACTATTGAAAACCACCCTGAAAGCAATGGGGGGATGGAACCTTTAAAAAGTGGGACAAGCATTTAGCACAACCTACCTGGTTAGTTAACACCAGAGGATCCATCAATCGAGCTGGTCCTGCTCAATCAGACCTTTTACATGATAAAGTCCCTGTGGAATATGACAGGAATATGTTGGGGAAAACTGTTTGGGTTTTTCCTGCTTCAGGCAAAGACAAGCCCATTCATTGGACTCTTCTTGCCCAAGGACGTGGCTGTGCCTCAAGGCCTCAATGTGTGCCTGAAGGAAATTTATCCCTTGGTGAGAATACTCAATTCTGAGCTGTATGATGTTAATTGTTAAATAACACTAACATTATTCGGTAAGTGTTCTTCAGGGTAAAATAGTGATGAAAGCTGAGCTAGCTTCATCAAGTGATGTCCAGCAAACTCTTCCCGTGGACGTGTTACCCATGGATAAGGACCACAATGAATTTCATCTTTTCTGCCCTGAGAGTCTGCTATGATGCAAACCTGCAATTATGAACTAAATGAACTTAATGAACTTTTGTGTATGAAAATAAATCATAAAAAAGGGACCTATGTGTATATATATGTATTTGAGGGATAAGAAGTGACAGTAATCTGAGCACGATGCAAATGGTATGGAATAAGGGGTGGAATGTCCTGGTTTGGGGCAAAAAAGAACCAATTTTCTATTCAGTAATTTTACTTTTTAGCTGGGCCTCTTCTAAATCAACTCTGCAATTAACAGAATTGTTCAGGAACAGAATTGTTCAGAAAATGTTCACTGTCAGGGTGACAAGACCTGATTATACCAAGGAACTGTGTGCAAGAACTGAGGCTCTT